AAAAAATTGGGGGAAAATTGGAAAGATGCTTATTTTTCAAGGTTTAAGTATGATGTTATTTTTTTTCAACGTTTAAGTAATCTTACATACTTTCTTTCAAAAAGAGCAACTTGTTCAAAAATGTCTATTTGTTTTAGTTTAAAAAGTTTCAGATTTTGAAATGTTTCTGAACTTCAAAAAAATTTATTTTTATACTTTTGAAATGTTAAATACATCCAAGATCATCATGGGATCTGTTTAGGTCCAACATAGGCTGTGACTTGGTTCCTTCTCAGTATTCTGAAGAGTGGTATTGACATTTGAAGAATCCAAATGGCTAGAAATACAAAACAAAGCAGTGATAGTTTATGCTGTTTTGTCATCTGTGCAGAAATAAGCATTGAATGAATAGCCTTTGTACTGTCAGAAATGTTGTACCAGCACCAGCAACTTTGTTGATCTTGGAAACCTACCGTTTTCTGATCTGTGCTTGGTGACTTTTTAAGTTCCAGTAATATTTGCTTGTTAATGAATCAGACTTTGTTCAAGGCATTCTTGGCTATTGATTTTGCATAAGTCAATAGTTTTTATTGATAAACCATTAAGACCAGAGCAGGGTATTTTGCTAGGTGCTGCCCAAGATCAGAAAAAAGACACTGCAATGAATGAGCTGGGGCTGCCTAGCTTTCAATTCCTGGCTCTGCCACTTCCTGGCTAGGTAACTTTGGGCAGATTGTGTGACTTCCTGTGCCTCAGTTTCCTCATTTATAAAACAGGAGTAATTATAGAAACTACCTCAAAGGGCTGTTTGATGATTAAATGAGTTAATACAAGTAAAGGGCATAGAACAGTTGCTGGCATTTAATAAGCACCAATAGCTATTATTAAGGTAAATTTTTAAAGTTTCATTTTAATGAGCGTGGTACATGTGTGACCGATTCATAAAACAAAACAAATTGACCACAGGAGTAAACAGTATTGACTAGGAATTAGAGCTGGGTGCGGTATCCTAGTTCTATTGTTGCTTTGATACATCCTATATTCTGTCTGATAAATGGATATCACAATACTCGCCCCAATGCCTCACAGCTTGATAAGGAGAACCAAATGAAATAATGTACACTTTTTTTTTAATTTACTATTTGAACCATTTTTTAAAATTAATTAATTTATTTTTGGCTGCATTGGGTCTTCATTGCTGTGCACAGGCTTTCTCTAGTTATGGCGAGCGGGGGCTACTCTTCGTTGCGCTGTGCTGGCTTCTCATTGCAGTGGCTTCTCTTGTTGCGGAGCACGGGCTCTAGGCACGTGGGCTTCAGTAGTTGCGGCGTGCAGGCTCAGCAGTTGTGGCTCACGGGCTCTAGAGCGCAGGCTCAGTAGTTGTGGTGCACGGGCTTAGCTGCTCTGAGCCATGTGGGATCTTCCCGGACCAGTGCTCGAACCCATGTCCCCTGCATTGGCAGGTGGATTCTTAACCACTGCACTACCAGGGAAGCCCCTAATATACACTTTCAACACGAAGTCCTCCGAAAATTTTTAGCCAGAATTAATTGTTCCTTCTTGGGCACTCCCTAAGCTGTTGACTTGTATTTTTGTCATGACACTTAGCACAATGTCTTGAACGATAATCAACTGTTTATATGCTTTTTTCTCCGACTAGATAAGCTCTTGGTGGTGGAGAAATTGTCTTACTCACTTTTAAAAAGCCATCTAGCATTATGACGAACATAATAGGCATGTAATAAGTGTTTGTTAAAAAGGGTTCTGACAAGGATACCTTGCCAAGTCAGCAGAATTATTATTATTATTATTATAACTACTCCTATATGTGCCTTTACAGGGCATAATTACATGGGTTGTTGGCATGAATTCGAGTAGAGCTGGGTGGGGTTTGAACGGAGCAACCCACACAGGGAATTATTTACAAAAATTCTGGCTTCATATATTTTTGTTTTCTCTTTGCATTATTCCCTTACACTGAAATCCACACATTAATGCAGCAAGTATTCTTATAGCTTTTAATTGGGTCAGATGTGAGTTATTATGGAGTCTGCAAAAAGCCTTCTAATCCTCCCATGTTGTTACCATATGACAAATGAGGCTTATAGAAGTAACTGATTAGGTTCTTGTCTAAATTTCAGCTAGAACTTGGGATTTATTTATCCATGTATTCTTAAAAAAAAATTTCATTGTGTTTTTGCTATGTGCTAGACACTTGCTAGGCACTGGACAAAGGTAATGGGGATCCACAGTATTCAAGACAAGTATTTTGTATGGATAAACAGGAATCTAAACTAAGAGGCCAAAAAAACCCCCAAAACAAAACAAAAACAAAGCCAAACAAACAAAAACAAACGCTGTGGTTCCTCTGAATGAATTTGGAAACAGAGCTGGGGATTTTTGATCCTAGTTTAACACACTAGTGATTTTTTCTTTTTGTGGTAATTGGATCTATCAACTTGAATGAAGGTAGTGGTCATATTAGGGTATGTTTATTGCAGTGATGGAAAATCTGCATTTAAAACATATGGGGCTTACTCTTAAGAGAAATTTCACTCTAAGACAAAGGGATAAAGAGAAGAGTGGTTGGGCCACTAGAAACTGTGCTAAGAATTATTTTCATTTTCAAGACTGAACTCGGGCAAGTAACCTAACCTTGTTAGCTTAACTGTAAAACTGGGATAATAACAGACTGTTCCTAGATTTCCTTGGATAATTAGATTTACAAACTCAGGAAGAAACTATGCTGTCTTTCCAATTTTGTGGATGGATCAATTTGACGTCCATAGATACTATTAGAGGTATATGCGAAAAACACAAATCAATTATTTTCTCTCTTGAAATTCACTAGAGTGACCCACCGACCATAGTTCTGGAGTGTAAGGAATGAGGGGCACCAGAGAAATATGTATTTCTTTATCTGATTTTGAATGTGTGATATATGAATATTTCTCATCAATTTATGGTGTTTCAAATGTATCCTTAAAGCATAAATTTTTTAATGAGACATACATTTTTATTTTCCATATCTTCTTTGTAAACCTCTGAAATCACCTCATGTATTTCATTTAAAACAAAATATTTTAAAATTGAGAAGCTATGCATGCAACTTCTTTCAAAACACAAAGCTTACAAATTTGCATCAAAATAAAAAATCAAGACTGCTTAATTGAAACCTTGACACCATCAACCTCTAATTATGTGTTAAAGAGACAGGCATCCTGGGGATACCAACTTAAAATCAGGGTACATTTTGAGGGTTTCTGTGTGTGTACATATGTAATTCACGGAAGGGAAAAAAGAGGTGCTGACATAGAAAAGAAAGAGATGATATAAAATTTCTCTAGACATGAATCCTTTCACAGGTTAAAAACAGTTAGGAAGAGGGCAAATTTGTCTTTTCAGAAGAACACAGAATAGAAATTTAGGACAAAATGTTTCACCTCTTTGCTAGGTCTAAATTTCAGTGAATGCTCTCTTTTGAAACAACAAAGATTTTTTACAATACTAATTGTTACTTAGAAAAACACAGTTCTAAGTCTTGACTACTGGTTGCTTGGATGTATTCTATAGACCATACTGAGTAAATGGAGAAGCAGGATGTTTATTATAAATTTCGCAGTAAAATGACTGCTTTTCTTTACATCTTAATTCTTGTTGTCTTCGCTCTTCTGTGCCTATTCCTGATTTCTTTTGCTAATGTGGAACCCAGCAGCTCTTTGTTCTCATTGTGTCTGTTGTCTCCCTTTCTTTGTGTTGCAGGGATACTGCTACCCACATCTGCCACTGAGCATGCGGAAAATCCTTCAATAGATTCTTTACTTAGGACTTTCAGTAGTATTACTCCACTTCTCCAGGTTTTAGTAATAACCAGAATATCTAGAAGATAGACTGAAACTTGGAAAGGTGATGGGTGATACAGGTGGTTAGGTGGTGGTCTAGCAAGCTGGGACACCAGATAGGAAGGCTCAGGGTAGTTATCACACATATTTATCTAATTTACGGATGATCTCACCAAGCTAGTTAAATGCAGATCACTCACCCTACACACAGAAGTTGGAGATATAGATTGACAACTAACAAGACACAAGTGTTTCTGAGCAGGAAGCCACAGAGCTGTATCTAAAACCAACGGATACAATAACCGGTTCCAGAGGGATGTGGTACATTGACACGAAGACTGGTATGTAAAGTCCCAGAGCAGGGACCTTCACTAGATAGTATATCATCTGAGGATGAGAACCAGTTGTGTGGAAGTTTCTCATAATAAAATCTCAGACTTTTCTCTGTGTTAAACACCCCCAAATGCTACATCAATATCAATTGAATGAAAAGACTCAATTCTTCTGCTTAAGCCACCCCTCACCCCACTTTTACAAGCAGATCTACCAATAATTTCCAGAAGGTGTAAGAAAAGGCAAGTTTGCAGGTGAGATTCGGGGTATTGGGGTCTAGCTCTGAGGTTTTCTTTTTCTTCCCCAACCTCACGCCAGCAAGTCTGACCTAACAGCTTGTAAATTATTTAACAGATGGAACACCATTCAACTTTACTCATGTTTCTCCCATAATGATTTTTGCCTGTTTTGTTCACTTGAATGCATGGCCAGCTCTTCGAATGGTATCTGGCACAGAGTTAGGTGCTCCAAGATCTTTTGTTTAATGAATGTATGTAGTATAAAAATGTTTTTCTTTTATTGCGGCAAACATTGGTGGTAATACAATAGTTCAAACCGGGCAGTTTTAGAAAAAACTGAACACTTGGCCCTTTAGTGGGGGGAAGGCCACTCTCCCCTCTCTTAGTGAGAGGGAGATTTTCTTTCTCCTCGGCCTCTCCTCTCCCACCATTTTGTTTTTGTATTACCAATCAAGGGATTAATAGCATCACCTCAAAGCCTTTCCGTTCCACGTTTTTACTTTTTGGTTCTTAAGATACCGTTTCCCAGTCCTTTGGTTTTCTATAGGTTTAACTAGCTAGTGGCTGGCATACGATACGGTTAAGCCCAAGTGCTCTTGTAAGGTAGCAAACCGGCGGGCAAACGCTGCCCTCCTGCAGGGCAGGCACCTGCTGCGGCTGCTTTTTCTAGAACCCCGCCCCTGGCTCCGAAGTCAGTTCAGTTCGCTCCCTCCCCCGCGGCGGGAGGAAGTGCCAGTGGCGGGAAAGTTCGGGCCAGGTCCAATCAGGCACCTGGGATTGGGTAGCGCGGCCGGGGGCGGTGGCCCCAGGACCCCAGCCCGTACTCCCGGCCCCGCCCCTCGGGAACGCCTCGCCCCCCGGCTGGTCCGATACTCCCGCCCCGCCCACCCGGCGCCCGCGCCCCGCCCCGCCCGGGGGCCGCAGCTAAAACCCGGAGCCGCCGCAGCGCCCAAGGGACTGGAGGGAGGCTCTGAGCATGTGCAGAGCTGCGCGGCGGCGGCTGCCTCGGTGAGAGGCAGCGGCCCGGTGCTGATGCGAACAGCCGCCTCGGCCTCTGCCCCACCGTAGTCGGCCCCCGGCCGGGGCGGCAGGGAAGGAACCGTAGCCTCCCCGCGGCCCGAGGAGCCGGCGCGTCGGCACGCACCCCGCCCCTCCCCACCCCCGGCGGCCGCAGCGCCCTCGGGAACCACGATGATGGCGGAGCAGGTGAAATGCGCTTCGGCGGGGGGCGGCTCCGGAGCGGGCTCCGGGCCGGTGGTGAACGCGGAGCTGGAGGTGAAGAAGCTGCAGGAGCTGGTGCGCAAGCTGGAGAAGCAGAACGAGCAGCTGCGGAGCCGGGCGGCCAGCGCGGCCGCCGCACCGCACCTGCTGCTGCTGCCGCCGCCGCCCCCCGCCGCGCCGCCCCCCGCCGGGGCCTGCAGCCCGTTGGCTCCGCGGAGCCCCCCGGCCGCCGCTGCCGCCGCCTCGGGGGGACTGGGGCTGGGGCTGGCGTTGGGCGCTGGGGGCGGAGGCGGGGGCGGCAGCGGCGGCTCTGGCCCCGCGTTCCCGGGAACCTACTGCCTGCCCGGCCCGGCGCCTTCCCTGCTCTGCAGTCTGGCGCAGCCCCCCGAGGCGCCTTTCGTCTACTTCAAGCCGGCGGCGGGCTTCTTCGGCGCGGGCGGCTGCGGCCCGGAGCCAGGGGGCGCGGGGACACCTCCCGGGGCCGCCGCCGCGCCGCCCTCGCCGCCCCCCACGCTGCTGGACGAGGTGGAGCCGCTGGACCTGGAGAGCGTGGCCGCCTGGCGGGACGAGGACGACTGCACCTGGTATTGCCGAGCTCCGCTCCCTCCCTCGGGGCCCTCGCCTGCGACGCCCGGGGAGGGCGAGGGCTGGAAGGAAGAGGGGGATCTCAGCCACTGCCCCCAGACGGGGTGACCTGGCAGGTGCCGAGCCGGGCGATGAGCGGAGGCTGTTCACCAGGGTGGAAACCTATTTTGTTCCAGCTCAGGCCGACCCATCTGGGGATGAGCTGGTCCTTTTCCTCTCCTTGTGTTGTCGTCTTTGCTGATGATTGGGTGCCACGCTCCTCGTTAGCATTAACTGCAAAATCCATGCTATCTTGTCTTTTTGTCGCTCAGTCGTGTTCTTTTTCCTCAGTCTTTTTTGGGAGTGACGGGGGATGGGTAGGGGTTGGCCTCCATCTGCGACTGTTACTGTTTTGTCCTCCCAAACCAAGGCCGGACAGGATTTGCGTGCTGTCCGTACCTCCTCGGCACCCCAAGTCGCCTAATGATGCATCTCTCCTTAAGAGATTCGTTCTTACTCTTTGAGTTGTGCAGTGGTTTGTCCTCATTCGCTGCATCTAATTTGATAGCTTCTCACTTCAGAAACAGTCTCGCTTTTTCCAGTGTGCTGACCTCAGTGGCTTTCCCATCAGTAACGGCGTAAAAAGAAAAATGAAGGCTTTTCGGGGAATGGAGTGAGCAGCTTGAAGGCACTCTGTTACGTAGGACCCAAGGAACTTGCTTTAATTTAAAAAATTAAACTGGTGATTGAAGAAAAGTGAGATTAGAGAAACTTTATTTTTTAGAAACTTGAAGTTGGTTATCAGAAAACTTGAGGCTAGCAGCATTTATTCAGTTGAAATCTGGTTAGCTCTGTTTGCTTTCCATCAGTGAGTACTTTGCGGGGCGGGAGGGGAGAGGGGTGTTCTGAATCCTTTATTTGTTTTTAATGGTGCTTACTCATAGGGTAGCAGTCACTTCATGACTTCTTTTGGTTGGTTCACATGTTTTCCTCAGTCGTTATAAGTAGTGTGATGTCAGATGCATAGAAGCTTCGGATCAGCTGGGACTTAGGTTCTCGCAGGGAGAATGAACAGCATTCATCTCTACCTAGCAGTAGCATGAAGAGTAATTGTAGTTCTTTTAATCTTAGGTCCTCTTCCTGACTTCCAAGCTGGGTCTTCCTCACTTTCTTTGTGTTTATGTTGAGTGACTGCTCGGGAGGGAATGGGAGATGGAGAACCTTTCTGGTTTCCCATTAGGAACTGTGGTGTTCCTTTTCTCTTGCACTTTTTTTTTTTTTTTCCCTTGCGTTATGCGGGCCTCTCACTGTTGTGGCCTCTCCCATTTGCGGAGCACAGGCTCCGGACGCGCAGGCTCAGTGGCCATGGCTCACGGGCCCAGCCGCTCCGCGGCATGTGGGATCTTCCCGAAACGGGGCACGAACCCGCGTCTCCTGCATCGGCAGGCGGACTCTCAAGCACTGCGCCACCAGGGAAGCCCTCTCTTGCACTTTTTTATGTTGAGAACTCTAACTGTAAAGTACACTAATTGGTTTGATTCTGAGAATCAAAATACAGGGAGCTATAATAAGGCATAGTCGTCCTTCTGCTTAGGACTTTTCGGCAACTGGGCAGGTAACTCAGGTTGTAAAAATCAAAACAACTCTCCACTTTCTGGAACTTTAAGCCATTCTTTAGAAGCTGCACCTTTAGTTTTGTAAAGTCCAGGCTGTGTTGTAATCTCAGATTCAGCCTGAATATGGTACCAGAAAATGCTCTCATGATGGTGCTTAGGTTGTTACTAATAACTGTAAGCCCTTATACCACTTTCAAATTATTTTAGATTGATTTAGTCCCCACTTGGCCTTTTCTGGAGATACGTACTTAAATAATAGAAGGAAACTTGCTGTATTTTGGCTGAGGATCAATCCTGTGCTTTAAAACTATTAGCATTTTAAAATTTATCATGATACACTGTTTTATAGGTGTATTAGATTTGTGCTAGTACATACACAGTGAATATAATTGTAATATTTTCTTTTATTAAATGGACTTCTACCATATTTAGTTATCCTCCAACTATTGCTAGTATTTTGATATCTTAGGCTTTCCTTTTGTAGTTATTTTTTGTTAAAACACCATTAAAATAACTAAAAAAAATCACCTACTTGGTGATATTAGCCTAGTAGCGCTTCAGATGGTTTGAAGCAAATCTAACCAGGTTTGATTTGCAGCAGGTTCTACTAATTTCACTCATCAAGTATATCTGTGAATGACTAAATCAATGCCTTGACACCTTACAGATGTTTCTATAGACAAATGGCACACTGTTTATACAGTATCTTCCTCAAAACAAACCCAGGGTTAGAATCCCAGGTGGAAAAACAGGGAGGGATCATTAATCTTAGTGGGATGGACTTAAAATTTTTGTAAGGTCACCTGATTTATAGAAAACTTTCTATCAGAGCATTTTTATACATTGAGATATATTTGAATTGCAGTACTTGGCCTGTTTGTTCATCAGCAGTCAACAGGGTTTAATTTTCAAAGCTAAACCCACTTGTTAATGCTTGCAGAGCCTTCTGATGTTCCTTCATCACTGCAAACCGCGTGTCCCTGCCTGATGCTGTCATCAATAGAGTGCTTTTCATTTGGCTTCCCTGATATGTTTGCAGGAAGGCTACTTATTTTTATCTTCCCTGTTTATTAAGAAACAACTGAAGTGGTTAATATACCTGATTATTTTAAATTATTTTAAAATATTTTACAATAAGTTACACATTTTCATTGTAAAAGACAAAACACAAGTGAATATAAAGTCACAAAAGTCTTCCCTCTTGTCCTCAATTTACTACTCTGACTCAGAGTGAACCCTGTTAACCTGTAGATCCTTCACGGTAAAAACATAGTTACACAAATCAATATGCAAATATATCCACATCAGTTTTCTTACATTTACCTTTCATTGGACACATCTTGGACATCTTTGTTTCCCTGTAACAGTTGCATCATCGTTAACAGTAACTTGGTCTTTAATAATGTTACTTTAACTGTATCACCTACAATTTTTCATACATTTTTATCATGATTTCATCCTAATGGGTTAAACAAAATTAATAATTTATTTAGAATAGCACTTCCTGCTAAAATATCAGATCCTGAGGAAAGGAAGTTCACAAATGTAGGTTAATCATTGAATATTTTAGAAGTTCTTTCATGTAAGTCTTTTTTCTAATACAGTCTTAGAATGTACAGCCTGGACAGCACTTAGCTCAAGAGTTATGTGTGAAAGAAAAAAGTGAATAATAGAAGAGTATTTGCTTGGTGATAGTTCGTTAGTGAATGATCAGTCAGGTCTCATAGGCCTTTTTTCCAAACAATTATTTAACCTGTAAGTTTCTTCTGTTTATTGAAAAAAAAAAAAACAACTTTGATGTAAGAAGATTGATATATCGTGCTTTTTGTTTTGATGATAAAGCTTTGAAACAAAACAATTCTTATTTCTTCAAATATTTATCTTAGTTGAATTTAAAGTATGTAATTTTGCCTTAATACAATCTGGTTACATTAGCACAGTGCTGCTGAAATTCAGTGTCTCAGAAAATCAAAGTTGGCTGTGGTTTCAGAACCTTCATTCTTAAGTCCAATTATTATAATCCCATAGTAAACTTCACATCCTGCTGTATCAGTTCTTCCATTATCTTACTACTAATTTGACAGCCTTAGCTCTCCAGGAGACCATAGGCCAGAAAGTACAGGGGAGAAACCGAGTACCAGGAGCAAATTTAAAAAGTTCAGAAGCGCTTAAAGTCCTGATGCATACGTGGCACATGGTGTGACTGGATGATTTGCCAGTCTGTACAGAAGGATGTTTTGAAGGTCTCTGTCCCAGTGTTACCAGGCTGAGAAGCACTAGGCTAAGAAGGACCAGGGTACAAGGAGAGGGAACCAGACTGGTATGAAGTGGCAATGGGAGCAGTAAATCATTAACTGCATACTAGACCTTTCTGTGACCTACTTCAGCTCCCTCATTTCAGTGTTAAGCGCCAAGGAGAAATAACTTAGGTAAACTACTTCAGTTATTTACTGAAAGAATTGACTAAAATTTAGACTTGTTTATATGGATTCAGAAGTGTTTTCACCATTGATGTTTTTTCCTCCAAGCATGGTTGTGACCCATTAATAGGTTATAAAGTCAGTTTACTGGACTGACTCAGTATTATTTTTTTATGAAGTGCAGTGGAATATAAAATCAGGATCAGAGTACATTGTATCTTATAATACAAACGTGTCTTGATTAAACCTGTTTCAGTTTTATGTGTATATGTCCTGGGTTGAAATAGTTAATGCATCTGTGCATTATGGCTAAAGTTAGAATAACTCCAATTTGTACTGTTCAAAGCAAAACGGACTTGGAGAAAACAGGTAGAAGAGCATGGCTCCCTGAAGATAGTGTAGGGCCGGAGTAGGTCAGGATCTGCTCACCTCAACCAGAAGGCGAGTCTATATTCAGGCAATGCCAAGATTAAAACATGCCAACTGGTATAAAATACAGCTATAAAAGGAGGCATTTAGTTTTAAAAGAGATGTGGCAGGGACTTTAACTTGCCCAACTGGAAAGGACAGGAGAAAAGTTCTTTTTTTTTTTTTTTAAACATCTTTATTGGAGTATAATTGCTTTACAATCGTGTATTAGTTTCTGCTGTATAACAAAGTGAGTCAGCTGTACATATACATATGTCCCCATATCTCCTCCCTCTTGCGTCTCCCTCCCACCCTCCCTATCCCACCCGTCTAGGTGGTCACAAAGCACCGAGCTGATCTCCCTGTGCTATGCAGCTGCTTCCCACTGTCTGTTTTCCATTTGGTAGTATATGTTAGTCCATGCCACTCTAGGAGAAAAGTTCTTAATGATACAAGGGGAAAGTGGTGATATCTACAAATTAAGGAAAATTTAATGAATGAGATATTCATCTTCCATGTGTAACACCAGGACCCTGGACAGCTGGCTAAAGTCATTGCCAATTTTTCATCAGAGCT